AGTGGCGAGTTAAGGTCAGTATCTGATGAGTGGCGACTCCAGCGTCATTGTCGGAAGATCAAATGGACATCAAGAAACCACGAACAGGCGCTAGGATTACTCCAACCTCAAGGCTTCGAACGCTCTGAGGCTGTGATTTATGGCAAATTAAGAAAACCAAATATTATTAAGCGTGACTTTGTGTGTTACATTGTTGCAAATGAACTTCATGACAGCATAATGAGTTAAATGACGTCATAAACTCGCAAACATTCCAATAGGCTTTTGACATCTGCAGGGCAATTCCTATCAGCTGTTTTGTTAACCTGTGTGGTTAAAGCTCCCATTTGTCTTCTTTCCGTTCAAACACTGTGTCAACCCTAATCGCGTCGGGTGCAAGCAGCATGCTGTTGACACGTTTGTAGGATTTCGTTTAATGAATTATGCACATATTTCTTTGATCCAACACGCACAGTAAAAGAAAGAAATCATCATCAAAGAAATAATGGATGAAACTCTGATGTTGCCACAATTACACACTACCCTACTCAGTGACCGACTAAAGCGACAGCGGCTGGCGGAGGTGCGAGTTGTCCCAATTATCGGAGCGCTGCTAAGCTGTGGCCGCGGGAGCTCTCTCATTCCTATCTTAAATTTTCGTGGCGAATATTTATTTAACGATCGACACGCGAGCCACAAAGGCTTTGCTTATTCTTGCTCGTTCTAATTGCCTTGAGTAATAAAAATATGAGCAGGGTAGTCGAGCGTAGCAGTGATGTACGTGTGAAAAGTAGTTGGTAAATGTAAAGGAAGGATTGCAGATTGGCGTGCTGAGGCGAATGTAAAGTAGCAAAAATGCGAAACTAAGGCATGACCACCAGCTGATGTGCGGGCAGATGACACCTCACAGGTCTCGTCTGCATGACAATAATACAGAAATGGCAGTATTAAAAAACCGTATCCAAAATATAACGAATATGGTGGTATCCAAGATACCTGTCTCAAAGATACCTGTCTCAAAGATACCTGTCTCGAAGATACCTGTCTCAACATGGAGTTCTCAGAGGCGTTTAGACGGCACGGGACGAATTCCTTCAGAACCACCTTGAACTCTGATCATAGTTCAATGAAGTGCGCCGATAACAATTCCAACATCCAGTGGTTGGTAAATTGATAGCTGGAGACTTATCCTTTATGATGAGGGCTTCAGCTATCACCAGTCTTGTAGCGTCGGGGCACCGCATGACGATGCTGGTGCAGGCGTTGGAGCATCGCTGACGATGCAGGTGCAAACTTGAGGCATCGTATGGACAGAATGAACCAAACAGGCAATACTGTCCCCTTTACTAGTTGTACTCCATAAAATTAACATTCAAATGACTTGTTCAGTAAATTTGGAAGTCGTCGGCAATAAAATTTCACATAAAAGATGGTTTCAATGTGCTCAACTCGCAGCAGCAAAGTGCAAAGTGGTTCCTCTGGTCAATGAAACGACAGACGACATTCAGTGAGTCTGTTTACACAGTGTCTTCCATTTACACATTGAGTACTGAAGAACATCTAAAATGTTTGACCTGAATGTGTCGAGTTAAGCTTTCTTTCCTGGCGCAAGCATATTTGCACTTGGAGCAGTGGTGAGTTTACTCAAATGTATGTTTTTGAAGATTATGATTTTTTAGCTGGCTCTTAGTCACACAAGAATATTCACACTCTGAGCAGCTAAGAGGTTTTTTAGATGAATGCTTATGAAGAACATGACTCTTCAGATCGCTCTTAGTCACACAAGAATATTCACACTCTGAACAGCTAAGAGGTTTTTTAGATGAATGCTTATGAAGAACATGACTCTTCAGAACGCTCTTAGTCACACAAGAATATTCACACTCTGAACAGCTAAGAGGTTTTTTAGATGAATGCTTATTAAGAACATGCATCTTCAGAACGCTCTTAGTCACACAAGAATATTCACATACTGAGCAGCTAAGAGGTTTGTTAGACGAATGCTTATAAAGAACATGACTCTTCAGATCGCTCTTAGTCACACAAGAATATTCGCACTCTGAGCACCCAAGAGGTTTTTTAGATGAATGCTTACGAAGAATATGCTTCTCCAGATCGCTCTTAGTCACACAAGAATATTCACATTCTGAGCAGCCAAGAGGTTTTTTAGATGAATGCTTATAAAGAACATGTCTCTTCAGATGGCTCTTAGTGTCACAAGAATATTCACATTCTTTGCAGTGATGTGGTTTCTTAGATAAATGATGATAAATAATGTCGTTTGCAGGATTTCGTTCCATGAAACAAACGCATTGTGGCCCCGAACAACGATGCGATTTTCCTTGACTATGTTTAGCAGAAATGTGTTTCAGAAGTTGAAGCTCTGAACCGCAGGAATATTCACAGTCAAAGCATGAGTACAGATGTGAGGATGCCTGCTCATCTGGATGGCGCTGCTGCATTTGGCAGGTAACCTTGGCATCAACAAAACCCCGCTGGGAATACGGGAGCCTCTCGCTGCGCTGCTGGGAGCTGGACGCTTCAGAGACGCGGCCGCTGCCACCAGCGTCTTCTGGATCTCCTGCAGGTGCGGACTGCCTCCTACCCACGTTCTGAGGGCACATTGGCAACAAGGATTTGTTACAGGAAATAAATCCAAATGGATTTAAAATTTTATTGGCGCTTACCCGCAACTTTGACCAAAATCTACACGAATCTTTGATGAATCTTAGCTTTAATTATTCAAAAAGTCATGGAATATAATATAATTTTGTTGAATTGCATTTAGTAATTTTTGGTTTATTTTTATGTGTATTCATACTGTCTTGGGCTGAATTGGACATTTTATGCGTCAAAAAGGATTATTTGATAAGCTTGGATTGCTTATTCTATATAATGTTGAACTGTCACTTATAAGAACAAAGAAGAGCTTGATGGCGTTTCAGAGAGAAGGAGATGATGAAGAAACGAAGCACTCGGCGCTCGCCATGCACAGAATCTCACAATGAGCTGATACAATGCGGCTCTATAAGTTTCCAAACTCTGTGTGAAGCTTTTGCACCAGATGGTACAGCTCCATGATTGGCTTATACACCTTACCTTAAAATGGGGTAACTTAGACTACTTTTTTTTAAATGATGCCATTTTTTTACTAGCTAAATTAAACTTAAATTGAAACATGCAAAATACAGGTCTATACTCTGGGTTCACTCACCATAAATTGCTGGCTCCTGCCTCTCATAGTTTTGATGTAATTCATAAAAAAGTGATGGTCTTTGTTACCCCAGCTCTTGGGGTATCTTAGACTGGGTGGAAACATCAATTATATGTTTTGGTAAAATAACTCCAGGTTTTGGTGCATTGTAGTAGAACTCTTCTAGTTGCATATGCAAATGACAAATTTGAGGAAAGTGTCATAGTTTGCAAATGGGGGGCGCCGCCCCCCAATGGGGGAACTTAGACCACCTAATGTTAGCCGTGAAAGGCTAATATTGACCGGCTTGGAAATTAAGTTAAAATTACCATATATAAGACTCTGTAGAGTCTGAAACATAAAGAAAAACATTAATAGGTGTATCAAACATGAAATATGTTATATATGGGAATTTTGAATTAATTTCCAAGCTGGTCTATGTTACCCCCGTCTAGGCTGACATTAGGTGGTCTAAGTTCCCCCATTGGGGGCAGCGCCCCCATTTGCAAACTATTACACTTTCCTCAAATTTGTCATTTGCATATGTAACTAGAATAGTTCTACTACAATGCATCCAAACCTGGAGTTATTTTACCAAAAAATGAAAAAAAAATTGGAGAGGGTACTCTGACAGGCTTTAAATAATAGCTCTTTTTCGTGGGTCACATTATTAATTTTTTAACCAATTAGATATGCAAACTTTTTAAATCTTTCTATTGTGTTACGTAGCTTCAGTATTAGGCCTTTAATGACTATTGACAAAATTTTCTATGTCAAATAGTTTTTGAGCTTTGGGGGTTTTTGTTAAAAAAACGAAAAGTGGTCTAAGTTACCTCGGGAGTCTAAGTTTTATGGTACTTTTAACCAACATCTCAGGGTATGCTAAATTTACTGGTAAAGTGAAATTGGACAATAATTTTAAACAAACAAGAAGTAACAGCAGGTCACCATGGAGTAGGTTACGAGGTAGTATGATAATAGCAGGTTATTTTATAGTTAAATTAGCATATGAATATATCCATTAATTAGAAATTAAATGCTTGATGATAAGTGATTGAAAAATTCAACCAAGCTTATGAGGCTTCTATGTAAACCATCAAGTGATACATTAGTTTAAATTCTCAATTGTCCCAGCACACAACCACCCACCACATGTCCAGGCATGGTAGAGGAGAGCGAGGCAGGACGGTGGGCTACATGTGCTTCACGAGCCTCAATTTGAGCTTCCATCTTGTCCGGCCAACCGGATGCGGGAGGTGGAGCTAGCTCATCAATATCAATAGGCTCATCCTTCACAGATATGTCCTCTTCCTCATATAGAGGCTCAATTTTGATGTTAGCTGCAACGACTTTAGGGCGCAGAGATGAGCCACTGGCCACTGTTGTGGGATAGAATTGAAATAAAATTACATGAAGGCAAAACTGGTACCAAAATATATAGACACATTGACGAAATCCACGCAGTAATTCATTGTATGCACATAATTGTGAGTCTTGTTAATATAAAGGGAAAGTCTTATATATATGTTAACCCACAGAATATAATTTTCATCTTCATAATCATATATCAAGTAATTGGTGCTTTTTATTTCAATTGATCCTTTTTGCTGTTGATGTGATAGGGATTTTAAAAATTAGGGACTCCCATGTAAATCTAATTTTTTCATGATGTTAGAAATATGAAAATACACAACAATACTTCAGGTATTTTTTATACCACTCAAAATTCTTTTTTAGTGATGTCACTATATTTTCGTTTGTTTGTGGTAAATACCTGATGGGGAAGGTGGAGCTAGCTGGCCACCACACCCAGGGCTGGGAGGCTCACCTGAACCAGCCTGACACAACATGTGGTCACATCAGTCATGTATACTCTGATAATATCCTAATGAAGGCAAATTAGTTGCGGTGGATTTTGAAATAATAATTCAAAATTGACCTCAAAGATAAAGTGTTAAGTGTATAATATTACCTCAAACACTGGCATTTGCAATGAAACATTCGAATAGAATTTCAATTCAGTCATTCATCATCAAAGAGTTCCCCCTAAAGAACCTCGATTTAAATGAAATATGAATGAATTGTATACAGCATGCATGGCAATCATTACACCTAACAGGGCTCAGGGAGCAGATGCGTGTCATTACGAAGTTCACTGCCAGAGACATAATCATACAAATTTTATTAGAATGCAGAATTGTGATCAAAAACCATGAACTCAGTTATTTACATAATAGCATTTAAGTGAGCACAGAAAATCATGTTGGATCCCAATGTCCGTTATAAAACTTGATGGGCTTCACTAATTCACATACAAAACCAGCATTTGCACTGAAAATCTAAACAAAGAACACAGCACCAAGCCCCACCAACCTGTTCCTCAGGCACAGCAGCAGCGTCCTGTGAGGAACGTCGGTGGGCGTCCCGAGCCTCAACTTGAGCTTCCTCCTTGCATGGCACACAAGATGAGGGTGGTGGAGTTTCCTGGCCAAATGAAACAATCATGAACAGAGACTTCATTGACTGATTGGTATGAGGACCAAATTATAAATATATGAGAATATTATCCATGCATTCAAGTATTCAAGTAGGCCCTTTCCAAAGTTAATATAACTATATTATGTTGTATTAGAGTCATCTACAGACCAGTAACATAATTTTAATCAATTTATTCCATTCAATGGGGAATCCGAGTAATGAATTTCACAAAATAGGAGTATATTTTTTCAAGCACTAGATTTCCATAGAAGTTGAAATAAATCCCACGGGGAATTTATTTTTGTCAAATTTGGAATGATCAACAAAGAAAAGATACAGACTAATAACTTTACCTGATTTTCATCAATATCAATGGGTTCATCCTTCACGGACATGTCCTCCTCATATAGAGGCTCAAGCTTGATGTTAACTGCAACGACTTTAGGGCACAGAGATGAGCCACTGGCCACTGTTGCTGGATAGAATTGATATGAAATTACATGTTAATAACAACTAATGACAAAACATATCAACACATTGATAAAAGCCAAAACAATAACACATTGTCTGCACACAATTGTGAGCAATGCAGTCCTGTTATTATGAATGAAAAGACATATATGCAGAACAATTCACAGAATATTATTTTCAGCTACATAGTCCTACCTCGGATAATTGTTTCATTGCTAAATCTACAGCTTACCATCAGACTTAATTTTGCCAACACCAGGAGGCCTTAGCAGGAGGTTCAGCCCAGACCACCAGCCCTTCTCAACTGCATCGTTGGAGAGTTTGTGCAGCACAACACGACATTCTTTCATGTCATCCATTATGATATCCAGTAGATTCTGCTGAGTCCAAGTTGAAGAAGCTTCTTAAAATTAAACAGCAATTGGCCCAATTGACAAATATAAGTACTTACTGCACACAAATAAAAAATAAAGTGACATAACTAAAAAAGATTTTTGGTATAAAAGAATACCTGAATATTAATAGTGGGTCCTCTGAGTATTGTTTTGTATTTTCATATTTGTATATTAAGAAAAAAATATATTAATTTGGAAATCCCTAATTTGTTAAAATCCTCATCACATCAACAGCAAAAAAAGTATCAATTGAATTCAACTGCAGCTTGGAAAAATCCTAAATAAAGGACTACAACAAGCATTGCCCAAACCATTGTTTGTACTGCTTCTAAATGGCATTGTTGCTGTGTGTCTCTCTAGTAGGCGAGACAAAAGCATTGAATACTTTAGTTTTTTAGGTGGCAACAACCTATAAGATTGCTCATTTATTACTGTTAATATAACTGTTTAATAATTGGATGCAGGATACAGTTCTATGCAATAGTTAAAGGTTAAAAATTAAAGTTTAAATGGGCTAAAGGATGGATTTCGAAGTAATGCAAGAATTACATTATCAAGCAAAAAAAAAACAGAGCAAGTAAATAATTTTTTTTGACACCTTGAAACCATTTTATTAATAATGGCTACAGATGTTACAGGAAGTACTTTGGAAGATGTTATTAGTGACTCTCTCCAGATGCTATTATTGGTGCCCTAATGTGACTGAGATGGGGAGGCTCCAGTCGTGGGGACCCGCGATCCCTTAGATGGGGGAGTGTGAATGTTTGCTGCGTCAGGGTTTTCAAACCAGTAATTAGTCTGATGGCCTCCATCTCCCCTACAGCCATCCTAAACAACCAGTTTGAAATCTTTTGTGTTTTTGCAAATTTTATTCATTTACTAAAGTGAAGAACAATTACAATTTACTGAAGTAACAGCTGTTAAAAATGGAGAACAGAGACCAGGAGCAAAACCAAAGCACGGGAGTCCACTATTATATTTAGTTATTCATTTAATATTTTCCTGCTTCATCTCAGTTATGAAAAGTCAAACATTAATTAGAAATGTGATTAGCCTAAGGAGTTTGCTTCATCAATATTTAGGTATCCTTTCCCTACTTAATACAGGGTAGTCAGCAATACCAGTAGTCATTAGATACAAGTAGAATAGTTCATGTTTACTAAATCAAATTGCACTTCTGGAAGTGGGGGTTTGCAAATACCCCTTAACAGGAAACTCCTGCTTCCTTGTAGAGTTAATGGAAATTTGTCTCCCCACAACACAAACATACACCAAGCAAACTCATATGGTATTAAAATAGTTAGTGAACATTAATTAGCATTTAAGATAAAGCTAGTAGATATAAGCATACTAATCACAATCAAATAAAGGTATGAATAAATGGAGCTAAATCCATTCCTGAACTTGCAGATAACATATATATATATATATATACGTTAAATAGGTTACAAGCTTGTTAAAACTCTCAAGATGAATTTTGTAATTGGATAAATAGGCCAAGGACACTCACTATTGCTGGAAGGCATTATTGTTACTTTTCTATGCAAGGCTGTAACTTATTTGCTGTCAAGATAGCACTTTTGTTCCAAGTTCCTCTCAGGAATACTGATGAATGACTCAAACTCTCCCTGATATTTAACTCTAACTTGGTTTTTCAATAAATTTACAGCTTTATTCATCAATGGTTTACTTGCCTGCATTACATCATTAAAATTAATATCAATTAGATAAGTTCACCTTACCAAATCAATAAACTAATGGTTATGAGCTACTTGTCCTAACATACTGACTGCACTTGGTTCATTGTATCCAACCTACTATTAATGTTGTTTTCATGTGCTTATCCATTACAATTTTTCTCCACACGTTTCCTTGCATCTTAGCTGCTAGAATAAATCATCAGTTACTAATTTTCAGGATGATTGTACATCATCTTAGTTTTATCATGATTGTGTCATGCCAATTTTTAAATTTTGTCATGATAGATTATACTCCCTGCCTTACAACTAAGTTTAATAATGTTATTAGCAGTTGCATTCATTCTTATTTTTACTTCTTTCAGCTTTTATTATGCACCATTGCCCATCCTATGCTCCCTATACCTCGTTATTTACACAATATGTAAACCAATAAATTCATTGCACATCACATTAAACATAATTTCTATCTATTTGCACCCATTGGCTTGCCATGTGACTTCAAAAGTATGACTAAACTTGAGCTACACTGCATCTCATTTACTCACACTATTAATAGACTAATTTAACTTCCATTCCTAACTTAAAGTGCATTATGAATTAATCCTCCCCGTATTGGCACGGGAACAACACAATCCATGGGCGCCAAGATTCCAATGCTGGTTTTATTATCAACAGTATGAAATGACAAGTACCATTTAAATTGTTTGAGAATTTCATTTATACTACATCAATTTATTTACTTCCATGTCTGAACAAAGGAGAAAAAATAGAGTATGTGAATTCACATAATTGAACTAACAGTACAAAAATAGACAATCATGTCAGCCATAAGGTTTGGCTCCAAAGCACAACTCTACCTACTACAGCATGACTAGTAATAGTGAGATTAGGAAACATTTCCGTCCATCTAGTTATGAATCCAAGTTTCATCCACCTAATTAATGACAAATTGTGAATAATTTTTAGATGATCCATTAGAATACATCAAAATCAAGAAGCATACTAGAGCAAGAGATTTTAGCAATTCCAAAGCCTTTTGCTTGACAGTGAAGTTGTACAAAAATAAGTTAAACTGGCTTATAATGGATAAGATCATGCAAGTAGCATATTATTGGCAATTTGGGCTGATTCAAAACAATATAATGAAATGGGACAAGCTTATGAAAATGGCACCACCCATTGCATTTTCTTCAATAAGATCAAAGATATTTTCTTCATATCAGGGGGCTAAGGTTACTAATGGCATTTTTGCCATAAATCTAATTAGTGTATTTGTCCCTTAATGATTCTTACTACAATTTCAATTAGATAACAAATCCTCATTTTAACAGGTTTGAGGAAGCAGAAAGACATAATTATAAGTAGCAATTGATTATATTATAATGAAGTAACCATCATAAATGGCAATAGCACACCTAGCATAGCATAGTTTAGTATCACCAGCGCTGGAGAAAAGGCCTGTTTCCGATTCTTATACTTTTCATGACTTAACTGCAGATCTAAAAAACTGGCCTTTTGACACATTTTTCAACTGACGTTGGTTTGAACTCGTTACTGGCCTTTATTAGTTCCATGGGGTTCTAGGCATTTCCAGTTTGAACATTTATTTAAGATTTCTATACTACAGAGTATGAAATTATGGTAAATGAGTAAGCATATGATGAAAAATCATGAAATCCACAGGCAATTCTAAGTAACTGCAATTACAAAGATGAGTGCTTTACTGAGTGTTGTGATATTATGATATCTGGTTAGAGACAGGTTACTATCAGATAGTTTTACAAAAAGTTCAGTTGCTTATTAAGTGGTTAATAATATTCATTTTCTTTATTCATGTTCCTTTCATGATTACAACAACGATGAAGCTCAAGAATTTAGTTCATAAGCTCAATAGCCAAGAGTACAGTGTATCAGGTGGCTTGTCTTAGCAGGGCTGGTTGCAGTGTCTAACAACACAATCAGTGCCATAAAAATGGGCAAAGAGAATGACGAGAGAATGAGATGGAATGCACAAACAACACTGAATCAGTAACATTTTATATGGATATCAAGTTTTAATCTAGTTTCAAATCAAATCGGAACTTGCAGAGCATTAATTCCCTAGGCGGGTTCAATCATCAGGGTACACCACTCACAAGCAGTATGAGAGACAGCCCTTAAAAACCTCTTGCTTTAATTTTGCTGTGCTAAACCTCACTAATTTGACCGTACTTTTGTACTGTACTTTTTGTGACTTGATTCACAATGGATCCGGCCTTTTGAACCCAATCTTTCCATGACTGACGATTGATTGAGATAACTGCTGGCTTATTGCCTGGTCAGTAAAATAGCTGCTGGCTTATTGCCTGGTAGTTCTACAGTAAAATTACTGAGCAGAATGATTACATAGTATGGTATGGCAGTGTCAGTGTCAGTATGGCACTGATTCTTAATATTGCAGAACATTCATAGCTTGTTGCAGTCTTGAACACGCAACTCACTGCTTCAATTTTGCTGTGCTTAATGGCCTCCTCACCAATTTGACCAGAACAGTTGCAGGTAGCTGAAATCAAACCCACAGAATTCTGATCCAATACTAATTCTCTGAACAGTAACCACCTGGCCACCCTGCCCAGTGAGTTTTGTAATAAGTTATATAAGTTATAGTCTCTAAAAACATACTGTGTCTATATTTAATTATGAAAATATTTTTTAACAAATTGAAATTGTTGTTAAAGTTACAGTCTAGGTGGGTTAATATTAAATAGTAGTTACAATCTCTGTGAAATATATTTCTCCAACAATGATGGGACAAATATGACAAAAATGCATCCAATAATTTATATGAAAATGCAAAAACTGCAAAATGGGCTCTAACATCAAGGAAATATCTGGTGGTTCCTTTCTTCATTTCATTGCATTGTAATAGGTCCTGAATGACTATAGAACAAATTGGAGGGCCTAGTAATTGCCATATAATTTTTTAATTGGTAGGTTTTTACTACCCACTATTGCCATAGGTTGTTTTTCGTCTGTAACAACACCATGCAACACCATGCAAACTCCAAGCTTTTGCCAGGTTGAAATAACAAACAAATAGTTAAGTACAGTCAAGAAAATAATGAGCAATCCAGCAGTGTGATAAATTTTTCTGCTTTACAACAGCACTAAATTAAAATGATCATATAAATAAATGTTAAAGTGATGTAAGCACTTGTGATGCTGCCAAAAAAATTACCAATAAATTTATTACAGACAATAAGATTCTCTGAACTGAACACTACCGTCAACCGGGGCTACTCAGGACGGGCGGGGTAACTCGGGACAGTCCTCCGACACGGCGTAAAACTGTTTTAGTAGCAAAACTAATTGGAATATTGCAAAACTAAATATAGTGGCGTAAATGTCAACATTTTTCCTATCTATGTAGTATAAAGGAAGTTCAAAAATACTACATTCACTAGCTTTGAAAAATTCCTGAAAAAAATGGTGAAAAACGATATTTTGAAAAGTTACTTCTGCTAAGGTCTGTAGTAGAAAAAATATTCACCGTATTAAAAAATTTTACTTACACAAAAGTTGCACCCAGGTGTCGGCTTGAAAACATAATTGACAGATTTTGCCTATCTCATTAAAAAAAATGGCGGTCATTTCCACACGGCCAGGCCACTTGGGACACCCCCCCCCCGGGGCTATTCGGGACACCCCCAAAAGCGCATTTACAGTAGAACCTCAGTTAGCAAAGGCTCCAGTTAAGAAAAAAATTGATTAAAAACAAAGAATATTGATTACATTTACCTCGCTCAGGGGAAAAAAGTTCACTTATCGTCACACAAATTACAAGCCTTTCTGTAAGCTTACAGATACAGAAAAAATGCTATAAGGCCGCTGACATGAAGCTTGCAGTGAACAAGGTTGTTGTAAATGCTCATTGGCATGTTCATGGATAGGGTAATATCCCATCAATAATACGGTACCCTCAACTGGGGGATTCTGCCGCATTCATAACGATGGCCAAAGTCACTCCAGCGTTTATGAACTCGTTTACAACCCTGGCGTTTATGACCCTGGCATTTACAACCCCGTTTTTGTTTGCCAAACAAAATCAAAAATGCGGCCAAAGTCACCCCAGTTGACAGTAATTAATGTTTATGGTAATCATATCAACAAAGGAAAAACGAGTAAAAATCACAGAAAATTTAGTTTATTCTACCTCTACATCATCTGCAATGAAAGAGGAGGACTTCAGAGGACTGTTAGTAATGGATGAGTACACTCTGCATTTTTCAAATATTTTAAAATGAAGTTTTATTGCAAGTGTCCCGAGTAGCCCCGTTTGACGGGGCTACTCGGGACACTCTTTTTTTTTGCTTCTGGCACCTTACAAAT